CCGCGCCACGAGTTCAGAGCTGCTACGAGTAGGTAAGAGTCCTCTCCGAGCTTTCAGAATCGTCCTACGAGTTTTTGCGAGTTTGCCGAGTTAGCAACTCGGCGTTCTCTTGTAACTCGTATGCTGAAAAAACCCCTAGTGGGAGAGGGGCTTTTAAGATACTAACATGTGTCTTTCATCTTATTCTTTTGGTTTATTTATGCCTACTTGGTTTGTATTTTATGGATAATAGCAACGATTTCTACTTCCGCAAAAGGAGGTTATGTATTCACCGTTACGGTTATGTAAGTTTGGCAGAAGTTTTATTTTAGATCCAGTCGTATGTGGCGCCCAATTGTTTGTATTCCCACCATGGCGTTGCGTTCTACATAGAATCGCGTCAGCCGACTAGCGTCGGGCGCAGTTAGGGTGTCCGGCTTTACAGAATACTGAATGTTATTTTGTCCATCATTATAACAAAATATAACAATACTTTTGACTGTGATTGATTATTCAGACGAAAAATACATTCATATATTACATGATCACGTAACTCTTTCATTATTTCGGCTTTGACAAATTATGTTGACCGAATATCACAATGTTATCATAACAGCTAGTATTTCCTTTTACTAGGGAGTAAGGTTGTGTCAATAACGTCTCTTTGGTGTCACGTGGTGTCAGTGCTTGCGTTCATTGATGTGTTCAAAAGACAATAGCCTCGGAAAGGTCAATTGATATAATATAGTGGAAGAAGTTTTTAAACTCCAGGAAGTATATTTTCCGTCACTTCTAGACTGACAAGAGAGAGCAAAGCCCATGATGGAGTCTGCAGTAGCTCAGTGTTGCATTCTACTCTTCATGATATCTACCAGTTGTTCGTTATTCTGCGACTTCGAAACTGATTTTTGTAACTTTGAGGTGGACACAGACAATGATTACGCTCGATTTTTACGTTGGTCGAAGAGCACCGGTAGATACGTTTCGTACATTCCTCTAACAGATCACACTTACGGAAATAGCACAGGTAGGTCTGAGACATTTTTACCATGTAACCCTACATAGAATCGATTTCTATTATCATCAAACTAACTTTGTTATAAAACACTTTAGCCATAGCAGTAATGTTAATAAACATACATAAACGTTGTTTATAATATTTTATGGTAATTTTTAATTTAAATGCATTTTTGATATGATCTTCCTACAATCACAAACATGAGACATAATTTCACTTTATTGATAAAACACTCAGAGGTATTACAAATGGTGGCCCAATGGGCCAAATTGCTTGTAATCTTACAAAAGGTATGGGCAAGAAAGCGGCAAAAACATTAAAATATTAAAAAAAGAAGATACAAGAAGTACATATAAAAAAATAAATAAAAAATAAATATATATATATATAGAAAAAAAATTATTATTTTTTTATTATTATTATTATTATTATTATTATTATAATTATTATTATAATTATTATTATTATTATTATTATTATTTTTATTATTATTATTATTATTATTATTATTATTATTATTATTATTATTTGGACCGAAAATTTGTAGCACCAATCGGGAAGGAGGTTGGCACACTCAAATCATCAAGGTTAACATTGCTGTTTATGAATTATTGAGTAATCGGATATAGTACGGGATTGGACTATTGAAAAATCTATTTGTTTTAATGGAAAATTGCGTGATTTTGTTACCATTGCGGAGATTTTTATTGTGGCTGCGGTAACGAGTGTGTGGTACCAGATCAGAAGAATGTGAGGTTAAAGTGAGACCCTTGGCGAATTTGAGACAGTGTGCCACCCTCCTTTCCGGGAGCAGTTGAAGTTCACATATGCCCAAGGCATGTTCATAAGAATTGAAATATTTGCCTAAGATTACAGTATATGGCATGCCCTTTTCTGTATCACTTCAATAGTGTTACTTAAATCTTGATTGAGGCCAGGGTGCCACACAACATCAGCATATTCTAATATTGGTCTGATATACCCTGTATAAACTGCTCTAAGTTCTTGTTTATCAAGTCCAAATTTCTTAAGATTACGGAGCATAAACAGTTTCCTGTTGGCCTTAGTAACAATATTGTTAACTTGGGCATTCCATTTCAAATTATTTTGAAGTGTGACGCCCAATATTGTAGTTTTATCAACCACAGCAAAGATCTTATAAACACAAGATAGCGTTCTCCGCGATTTACGCGTAACAAATAGAAGCGTCGGTCAAGGTTCAAAAGTTTCCAATTTAGCAAGAGGGCGCCATTCATGCGCTATTATAATTTCGGAGCATAAACAGTTTCCTGTTGGCCTTAGTAACAATATTGTTAACTTGGGCGAAGGGGAAAAGAGAAAGATAGACAGGTAAAGAGAAGGAACATGCAAGGCAAGCTCCTGTAAAAAAAGAGGAAAAACCAGGCACAATGCCACACTGGTAATTGGTATAATAGACCAATATTCTTCCAAATTATGCAATTCGTGGTACCCACCCATTTATAAAAAAAAAAAAGGCAAGCGTACATGAAGTGTTTGACCAAGGTCAAAGTAAACGTGACAAGAGTCGGATCAATTGGATCTAAAACCAGGATACGGCAGATATCCCAAACCATACCAGCTCGCAATACGATTCTACTTTAGCTTTTCACAATTCGAGACGTTTTTTGGTGTAAGTTGGTTGAAATTAACCTAATCTTAAATTTAAATGTATAAGATATCAATAATTTTTTTTACTTTTTAAAATAGATTTTATTAATTAGTCTACGCCAAAAAAATTATGGTGTTTTATGTTTTCACGCTATTTTTTTTTTATAAATTGTAAGCAGGCCTCGATCTATATGTAGATTTAGTTATATATTATATAACTAAATTATAAATTATATTTAGCTATAAATAATTATATTTAGCTATAAATAATTATAACTATATTATAAATTATATTTAGCTATAAATTTTACAACTGTTGTAATATTTTGTTTAAGTTTGATATAAACTGTTTAGATATCATATATTTAGAGGCTCATTATCTGAAGTCAACTGGATAATTTAGTGAAATTATTCTGAAGATCAGGTTAAATACCAAAAGTCAATGAATGAACGTGAGGGTTTGCTGGTCAGGCTTATATCTTCCATGAAATAAAGGACAGGCCTTTCGGATATTTACTTAGAAAAAATCTATAGGCCATAAGAATTATATTTAGTCAATTTTCTGCCTTTAAAATGTAGATATCTGTAATAAAATAAATTCAATATTGAAATTCTTTATTTCACATAATAATTTAAATGAGAATGTCCAATTACTGAATGTTATAATAAAATAGTGTACCGCAAGCATTAATTATATATTATACTTCGCCATGCAAACCTTCAAACAAAATAGTTCCTATTTTTAATTACATGCATAAGTTCCATAAATTGACTGGTTTGAGTAGTAAAGTCGGCCAAAAAATGTCATTTTTAATGAGGTATTCATTTTGGAAACTTGTTATATATTTTATGACAAGTATACTTAATTGTATACCCAAGCGTTGTCATAAGAAAGAAACTTCAATAAACAGTTTATGAATAATTGTGTTGCTACATATTGTGAACACTTTGGTTGTTACGATTATTTCCGCAGTGACAATAAACCGGAAGAAATGGTATCCGGTAGCGTAGGGCGTGAAATCTTATCGCACTTCCACAAGCAATAGAAATTTGTAATACCTCTGTGTCCATGGCAACTATTTCAAAAACCAATTGCGAAACATTATTATGAACAATCATTGTATATAACAGTAACAAACAATCGAGAATAGGAAAAGTAATACTTTTAAAATTTCCAGGCTCAACCTAAACACTATCTTCACTCAATTCCTTCATAGGGTCTACACACCAATTTTACTTTTAAATAATCAAATCCACTGTTAGTTTGTACCCTTATTTATGGAAACACTGTTATGGAAAACCTTAAAAATGAATCAAATTATAAAAGTGTTAATTTAATAATAATAATAATAATAATAATAATAATAAGATTTATTAAGCGCACATCTCCACTAAAGTGCTCAAGGCGCTTGTGAAAACCATGAAAAGCTTATCCTTTTAAACTAAAGGCTACCAGAAAAACGACCATAACCCACTTCACTGCTTCCGTTTACCAGCAATTTAAGGTGCAAAGACCGGCTAGTACATGACTCACAGGTGTTCTCAGTTTTGTGGGCATCTAACTAAACAAATTAAAGAACAAAACAAAAAAAATCAATTCACAATAAATTAATTTCCTTGAGCAACAAAAAATAGATGTGTTTTCAGAGCACGTTTGAACAAAGCAGTCGACGAACTTGATCTTATTTCAATAGGTAATCTGTTCCACAAATTTAATATAGATCAAATAATAAGTAATCATTGTTATTATTGTTATTATTAAGGTGGTCTAGAATTGGAGAGCGAACTGTATTATCATTATTAAATTATTGTATGTAGAGATGAAACTTTCTACAATCCTTAAAAACGTTTTTTTTTTGTTTTTTTTTTTTTGTTTTTTGTTTTTGTTTTTGTTTCATTTTAATCATTCATGAAATTTTACGAATTATGTTCTGATAATTAAATTATTATGACAGTAAAGGTTTCTCTCCAATTAGAGATCCCCAACTAAAGAGCAGTTTTCTACGACCTCGGTTGAATGCCTATCTTTTATCCTTAGCTGTTCCATTCTATTAAAGGCCAAATTACCAATAGAGACCAAAAGACCGTAGTGTTGGCGGACCAGACGGTTTCGCTCCAACTAAAGGTCAATATAAAATAAATAGTGATGTTGATGTAATTTTACATATACAAAAATATAATGAAATACTGTGTTTGTAATAGTTTTTTTTTGTATATATTGAAATGTTAGTAGCGATGTTAATAATACGTTATTGGAAAGTTAGGTAGAATTATTACAGGGCTTTATGTCTGGCTACCATTTATATAATAAATAAAAGCATGCAGTAATATTATAGATGTATTTTAAAACACTTAATTTTTATATAAAAAGAAACTTCTAAAGACCACATATTGTACACAGGCGCCTCAAGTCTCCTGCAGAGTCCTGTGATTGAGTCTCCTGGAAATCAGCGGAAAGGCCTCCCGCACTCCAGCCACCAACCACGAATAGGCCTGTATTATCAATTTCTCCCAGAAAAATATACTTAGATGTGTTGAGAAAACACATTTAAACAGATTTTCCAAATTATAGATTGTTGATTCTTCCAACTTTGGACCCCTGAGTGCCGGTCTTTAATTATCGGGATTTAAAATAATATCAAATAAGTTTTAGAGCCCAATTATATCTTTCTTCTTTGTTGTGTATTCATTTTGTACTCTTTTTTGCGATGTGATGTAGGTCTACCAACTGATTTTCAAAAAGGACACAATAAAAGAATCTCGAATCTAGTAGACACCAAAGACCATAGTTTTGGCAAACCTAACCATCAATTTAAAGATTAGGCCTATCTAATAGTGGTTTTATTGAGCAGTTTTTGTACAGACTACAGACATCAAAATAATGTACATCAAAAACTATGTTTTCAGTGTACACATAAAATACCAATAGTGTTAGTAGAGAATACTTGGAGAAAAAAAAATGTATTAGCAGACCCAACTATAATTTTCCCTTCAAATAAAGAATACATTGAAATAGTCGCTTCAACACAGCTTTTTAAATATGATAATGATATGAATAATAGATATACATAAAAATAATACACTACATAAGATGATGGCTTGTGTATACAGTGCTCTTAAATTAATGGGCCTGTCAGGAAAAATTTGGTTCGGGGCAAGTATCGGTCCGACGGACCGATTTTTGCCAAATAATTACTTGCCAAATGCTGTCCACATAAGCCAAAATCAGTCCGCTGAAATTAACTTTGCTGTGCTCAGCACACTTGGGAATCTTACGTCCACAATATATTTTGGCGAAAAGAACGATTCCTAAACTTTTACAGACGTGCATATGCTTATCTAGCCAATCACAAAGATGTCCAAGCTGAAGCCTGAATTTG